GACCCGCGGCCCCCCCCGGTTGGGCGTCGAGCGCTTGGGTTAACGCCTTGGGGTCCAAGCCACCCCGTTCGTGGCGGTAAGGATTCGTATTCAGAGAAGGGCCCCCGGGGGGGGGGGGGGCTGACACGCCCGCGGTGTGTCTCGGCCGGAAAACGGCGCGCCCGGGTTTCGACACCAAGAGACGGTGTTTTTGCTTTTGCATGTTTCGTGAGGTGCGCAGACACGTGGCAGTGGTGGAGTTGGAAGGCAGAGTGCGAGTGGAATCACGACCAACGTATGCTATGCGTGTGCACTCACCTCCTTGATCCTGACAGTTGGCCTTTCTGCGCCTTGCTCTCTTACCCCCGTCCGTTAAAACCCATCGCGTTCGCGCTGTGTGTGCTCCCCCCAGAAGCCGCTCCACACGCCCTCTCCTCTCCCCCCCTTTTCACCTCCCTCGTTGGCCGTTTTCTTTTGACCCCCACGTCCGACGAAAAAAATGCAGGAGAGGTTCGATTCCCTTCCGGAGGTCTTCGGCTGGCGGCGGTGCCATCGCCGACGGTCAACACAAACGCACGGCATCTACTTCTTCTTCCGCCGCTGCCTCTCGTCCACCCTCGGCTTTGGTGTTGCCGACCACCACGCTCGACAGCACCGCTGTCGGCGGCGGCGACGGCTCTAGCATGACATCCGAGGCCCGGCGGCTCCTCGCGGCCTACCCTGGCGCCCTGGTCCTGCTGGTCGCCCGCGCTCTCCTCTACGTTGTGACCCTGCGCGGCCTTATCGGCATGGTCGGGGGCGGCGGCGGCGGCGGCGGAGGCCTGCTGCTCGACGGGGACGGCGAGGAAGGCGAGGCAGAGGTCACCGAGGCTCCGGGGGGAGCGCCGAAGGAGCCCGGGGAGTGGGAAGGGCACTGGTCTCCGGCGATGGATGATGGGGAGGGCGGCGGCGGCGGCGGCGGCGGGGGTGGCGGTGGGAACGGCCGGCGCCCGAGGAAGAAGATATCTCCGCTCGCGGATCGAGGGGTGCTCCTTCTGTTGGTGCTGCTGCACAACCGGTCGAGGGGTAACGCCTTCCGCGCCGCGGTGGCCTCTTTCGTAGACGCGGACTTGGAAGATAACCTGCCCGGGGGAAGCTTCGGCGGCGGCGGCGGCGGCGGCAGCGGCGGGTCCTCCTCTGCAGCGCCCGTGGTATCGTCGTCGCCCTCTGCCGCCGCTGCGACGCGGATGCGAGTGTCCTTCCGCGGACTGTTTGAGGCCTTCGCGTCTACTCTCGAGGGGCGGTCATCGTCGTCTGGCGGTGGTGGCAGGGGGGCCGGTGTTGGTGGCTGGGGCGGTGACGGGGCGGCGGCAGGAGAGGCGGAGAGCGTCGGGCGCGAGGGGGTGGCGCTCCTGCTCTACAGCTTGCTACAGGTATCTTTTCTCGGGGGGGAGAGGATAGTCCACACTCCTCTCTGCAGAGAGATGGCATTTATTATAGTTGCGCTTTTGTCTGTCTGCACTCCTCTGTAGCGCTGGAATTTATTGTGCTTTTTGTCCCCGACGATGTTGGTGGGGAAGGCTCCAAGCTCCTCCAAACTGGTACCACAGTAATAGCCCCGGTGTGCCCATATTGCACGCCGCTCGCCGCTCCGTTGGTTTCAACGGCTGACATACACACCCCTCTCCCGCGGCCCTTAATCCACTATCCGCGTGTGTACGCAGGCCAACCCTGGCTTCCTGCGGGCTGCCGTAGTCAGGTCGGACGCGGATGCCCTGCTGCTGCCTCTGCTGCGCACGCTGCACGACTGCGCCTCGCCCGAGCAGCAGCAGCAGGAGAAGCGACGGTGGGTCACCAAGAAGGCGGCGGCGGCGGCGGCGGTGGGCGTGGACCCTTCCCCGCCGGCCCTGTACGTGCCGGCGATCGTGCTGCTTCTGTTCTGCCAGGACTCGGCGTTCAACCGGCAGTCGTTCAGGCAGGTGGTGCAGGCGGACGTCCAGTGGGGGGCCGCTCGGAACCTCAGGGGTTCCTCGCTCGGCTCCCTCGTTGTCCTGAGCATCCTCCGTTGCCTCGGGCACAACCTCAAGCGGTGAGAGGGCGTGGAAGTGGCGGCCTTCGGTGGAGGGGGTTGGCGTACCCATGTTTGGCATGCCTCTGGGGGGGGGGCTGATGCGTCCTACATTCATGCGATACATATATTTTGTTTCAGGCGGTGGCGAGCCAGCCTTGTGTGCTTGCTTGCTTCCATTGTTGCCGTTGCGTACACCCTTTGCGTGACTCAGGGGACGAAGCCCTAGCCTCCGTGCATGTACGTACGTGTACAGTACCACACTTTCTGCATTGTTTGTTTCGATTGCTTCTTTTTTCTTTTCTGTACTGTGGCACGACGAAAGTGAAACAACAAAACCTTGCTTGGGTCCCCTTTCCTCTCTCCGTCTCGAGCCCCCCCCACACCCAAACCCAAACCTCTTTTTTCCAACGAGGCTTCCTCTGCTGACCTTCTTCCTCCTGC